TTTTCTTTTTATTTATTATATGATTTTTTTTAAAAATTTTGCTATGTGTACTGCATTAAGCTAACTGAGACCTGTTATAGCACTTGTATATCATTGCTCTTTTGTTGATTTTGATTGCTTCCATTGTCCTCATTTGTAAGTCGCTTTGGATAAAAGCATCTAGTAAATGACTAAATGTAAATGTATAATGCACTACAACACTGAGGTGCAAATATTTGCCACTATTTGCAGTAAGTATAAATATAGCATCTTCTATTGCACTTTTTGCAAAGAAAATAATACTTTTTACATAGTTTAAATACAGTCTGTCGTGATTTACACTTAGTGTAAATAGCATTTGTCGCAAAAAAAGATGCTATTTACACTTAGTGTAAGCAGAATAATGCTATTTGCACTTAATGCAAATAACAACTGCCTTCGAAATAAATCCCCAGCAGAAGAGTTGCGCATCTGAGAGCAACACAGTGCTGTTTGGTTCCTGAATGAATTTGCGTTTTGAACCTATCGGCTGAGCAAATTATTCAGTTCCATTCATAAAATCACTTGCTCCATTCTTTAATGAATCATTCCTTTTGAATGCATCGAATGATTCCATGACTCATTCCTTAATACCACCTACACTGTAAAATCTAATTAGTTGGGCTTACTTTAAAAAGCATGCAGACCGATTGCCTTGAAAAAACTAAGTAAAGTGAAATAGGAATAGTATGTTGTACTGACAAATGCTTAGTTTATATAGTTTACTTACACGAGAGTTCTAGTAACTAAAAAATAACTGTAGGAGGTACTTTATCCTTTCATTTAGGTTTACTCATGACTTAGTGTGACCCTTCAGGAGCAGAATTGTCATGGCTTAAGAGACACAATTTCAGACAAAATGATTCTCAAAAAGACGCTCTGTCTGTGAGAAACATCTAGTCATCTCCGTAAATAGTAGTAGTTCCTAAAACAAACCGTAATCCTGTAGCCTCTGCTATTTGCCGCAGATCTATGACTGCTCTATTCCACTGGAAGGTGACTAATGGCTATAAAGTGGCTCTAATCTCTCGGCAGAGGCACACCCAGAGCTTTGCTGACAGAGGATGTTCCCATCTTTACAGTATTTCTCGCCGTTCCCTCTTCCTCTGACTGCCTATTAGACAGACCGCACTGCCAGCATGTGGCCAAATTAGATTAGAACATCAGTGCAGCAGACTAATGAGCCAGCAAGCCAGGCCTGGGGTTCACTGTTTTTATCACAGCTCCACACTGAATGTTTTGAGTCGTTCTATCACGGATATGTCGTGTTGGAGCCGGCCCTGGCTCTGAGCGTGGGAGGCTGAAGTGCTGCTACCTAGACCAGCACATGAAGTGGCTGCTAAGAGACTGTGAACAGTCAGCGCTTTGTCTGGCCAGCTGAAGACTTGGCAGAACACAAGGAGTCTCGTTTTGCTGTTTTCCCTCTTCATAGCTGCGAGTAAATCCGTGTCTGTCTGTTGCATCTCTGATGAGCTACAGAGGTAACTAATTAAAGGCAGCTCTAAGTGCAGCATGCTTGGAAATGATTCCATGCATATCCCATCAGCATATATGGTCTCAGATTAACTCACAATGATAGGTTCCTCTCAGGGCACTTGAAGTCGACATGACATCCAAATTGACCCCTGTCTTAATACATGTTCCTTGTTTGCACGATTCATAAGTAACAATTTTTCCAAAGGAAAAAGTTGTGTCTGTGTAATGTTTTATCAGAAATGAAGTAACATGCTCATTTTCTGCACAACCATTTTCAGTCCCAAAGAGTTTCCGTCATGTTGCGTTCCAGACCAGCTCATTTGAGTCCAAGTCCAGCCTCCAAGACTAGGATGAGTCCAAGTCAAGACCTGAAGAGGGTCTGAATGATTCAGACAGTGTAAACATGCTTTCCTTTGGGGTGAATGCAGCTTGGTTTTGCATCAGTGTCAAGCAAACTTCCACTTGAGTTGGCACAGACCACAAAACGTATCTGCAGCATCTCGAGTCCAAAAAAATTAAAAGCATTAAATCCAAATGCTCCCAAGTCCATGACAACTCCAAAACCATAAAAATATGGTCTTGGACTCAAGACCTGAGTTTAGTATCGAGGACTACACAACTTCTACCATTTCCTGTTTTTCACTAAAGTTGGGCTTGATTGATCTTTCCCAACTTTGGGAAAAAGTTGCATGTCTATCCATGAGTATTTTCAATTAGGAAGTGAGATAATTCCATGTTCTGAGTTGTCTAGTATGTAGACTTCTGTATTCCTTATTACACTGTGGAATTTTTGTGCTGCATCTCTGTTCACGTTCACCAAACTGCAAGTTTATAATTAATGAGACTGCAGAATTTATGCCATGCAGGGAGGTTCTGGACACTTGGATGTTGCATGTGAAATGCAAATAGTTAGCCTTGCACTTTGAGTTAGCAAGACAGACTACAAATTCTTTCTGTCTCTCTCTTCATCTCTCTTGGCCAAAATGTGTCATTTTGGAATGAGATGATGTGAACTGTGACAATTAAAGAGGTTATGTAGGGCCCATCAATCATGTGATTTTTTTATTTTTTTTGGCCCAGCCCCATGATTGACTGGATCTCAAATGGAATATCTCTGAAACTTCATATCTTTTTATTGCTAGAGATACAGAGAGCAGTTCTATAACTGCCCAATGCTTTTCTGAGTGGAATGACTTCAATCCATTTGCCGAAAAAGCACAAAAGAGTTCCATACATGGGGTGCTTTTTAGACGTCCCTATAACCTGATGTTGAAAATCTCTTACACTGTAAAATCTAATTAGTTGGGCTTACTTAAAAAAAGCATGCAATCCGATTGCCTTGAAAAAACGAAGTAACGTGAAATAGGAATAGTATGTTGTATTGACAAATGCTTAGTTAGTATAGTTTACTTACACGAGAGTTCTAGTAACTAAAAAATAACTGTAGGAGGTACTTTATCCTTTCATTTAGGTTTACTCATGACTTAGTATAGCTACTCACTGACTCCCAGAGAGCATTGCGGCATGAATAAATTATGCAGTTGCTTTGTTTTACAGTTGTTGATTTTATTTGCCAATTTTATTTGCTGTCTTGTGTCAGAAGTAGCACAACAAAAAGAGCAAATAAAATGGTTATTGTTACAATTAATGAAAATAAACCACACACTATTTAAGTAATTTGGATTATATAAACCCAATTAAAAGCATCTCAAGGTATTTATGAAAAATTATATTTGAAAAAGTTCATTATTAAACACACACACACAAAAATACACTAATGCATTAATTAGAAGATAGGTCACCTTCTAAAAACAACCTATTTATTACTTTTCTTCCCTTGAAATCAAATAACTCTGACTTCATGATGCATTGCTGCATTAACAGGAAAAAAAATTATAGTAACATAAACCAAGTTCCAAGTGCCCAACCAAAGGGAACGCTAATCACTATAATGGTGAATTAAAAAAACTGCAGACATGGAAGAAATGAGTGAAAAGTCTATTAAGACACTTTTTCTTTTCTTCTTCTTCTGTTGTTATGTTGCACATTAGCAACATATTAGTGCACTGCTGACTCTCACTGGTTTATTAATGTCATTGGTTCCTTTGTGGCTACTTGAATATTTTAAGTAAGTGTCACTCAAAACAGTAAGTAAATTGTTTTATTTGCCTTGAAAGTAGCTGTAACTTAATAAAACCTAGTAAGTATAACAACTAAGTAAAGATAACTAATTAAATCTAAGTCAAGTCACCTTTATTTATATAGCGCTTTTAACAATACAGATTGTGTCAAAGCAACTGAACAGCATTAATTAGGAAAATAGTGTGTCAATAATGCAAAAATGACAATAGTAAACACTAAGTAAGTAAGTGTTAAATGTAAAATGACAATAGTAAAAAAATAGTTAAAAGTAAAAATGACAATAGTAAACACTAAGTTACTAAGTAAGGTAAACTATTGGATTGTACAGTGTACTGGCAGATTCATATTTAAAACAGTATTTATTTTGCCCCATCATTTCATATTTAAAGGTTTAAAATGATAAATTTAAAATATAATTTTTATAATAGCTTTAAAATTTATAATTGCTTTAATTGCGTTCTTGCCACCCATTTTTATTTACAGGTGGTTAACATGAAAACAAGACATCAAAATTATCATTCCCCTTACCTTAAGTTGTCACACACCACTGAAGCACAGGAAACAAGACGAGTGTTCACAGGACTTTATTGAAGGGAAACACTCAGGGAAAACACAGGTAAGTTGATACGACGTGAATGCCCAGTATTAGAGAGACTTATCTCAAATTCACCAGTCCGTGTGTGCTTCAGGGAGGATAGGAATCAAGGGCAGATGACCAGCGGCTGAAGAAGACGACGATCGGATAACAGGAAACCAGGAGTCGGGTAAGTCTTACACATTAGCGATAGACGAGACCAGACGGTTAGGTGTCTGTGAGTGCGGGTTTATAAGCATCTCTTAATTGGGCAGAGGCAGGTGCAAGGAATCAATACTCAGGTGAGCTGGAACGGGAAGGTGGGGCTGTAGGGTCTGACGCAGGTGGAATGGCTGGATCCGTGACAGTACCCCCTCCTCCACGGGCAGCTCCAGAAGACCGATGATGGTGGCGACGAGGACGACCTCTCCCTCTGGGCGCTGGACGATCGGGGTGACTGATATGGAAGTCCTGGAGTAGGGTGGGGTCTAGAACATCTTTACGCGGTATCCAGGACCTTTCCTCAGTGCCGAAGCCCTCCCAGTCAATAAGATATGCCAGTTGGCCTCCTCGTCGCCGCAAATCCAGGATGGAGCATACGGTGTAGATGGGGTCTCCGTCCGGCTCGATTGGAGGAGGAGGCACCTCAGCCACGTCAGACCCTGTGGGAGAAGGGAGAAGAGAAGGTCGGTGAGGTTTTAGCAGAGAAACATGGAAGGTAGGAGTAATTCTACTATTTGAGGGTAGTTTCAGACGATAAGTGACCGGGTTGATCTGCCTTAAAATAGTGAATGGTCCTATGTATCTGGGACTCAGCTTGCGGCAGGGTAGCCGGAGGCATATGTCCCTGGTAGAGAGCCAGACCTTTTGACCAGGGAGGTAGGTAGGTGTTACTGCTCTGTGAAGATCGGCCTGGTTCTCGTGCCTCCTGACTGCCCTTTGCAGATGG